GTTAAGCATGTCTACAACCAAAGATGTATCCCTGTGCTTGTTTGAATGTATGGCTCACTTCCAAGCCATCAAAGGCAGAATGGCCAGGATGTCTGATGAGCTCAATGTATTCACTCATTTTTCTCAATCCTGCATGGAGCTGGTGGATTGCTGCCTCATGCAGAGAAGGCAGAGAGACAGTAAGGAGTATTTATCTATCTTTCTTAATGGAATGAGGTCATTTTGTCCAACACGCATGAGTGCCTCTATCACAAATATATGTAAAGTAACAAAACAGGTAAAGCATCAGGCCAGGTAGTCCTCTTTTTTTAATCATCTGACCAGTGATCTTTGAAAGGCAATGCTCATGGGAGTACTGTTCACAGGATAGATTTTAAAAGTAAAGACAATGAAGGACCTGCACAGTCATAAGATTCAATGTAACACTATTAAAATCTACTACTAAACTGCATATAAATGCATGAAATGAGTTGCTAAAGGCTTTTCCACCAACTTTCTAATCACATGAAATTCCCTTGGTTAGGCAACTGCCTCATGAGATTTAAGCCATTAAATGAAACTACCAATGAATTTATCAGCAACACTTGATCCAATGAAACATTGTTACTCCTTGTAGATAGGCAAATGGTGTCAGAAAACTGTAAGTGCAATCCTATGTATGTTTGCTTAAAATAAAGAGGCTAAAATCCCCCACATTATTCTCAAAAGAGTAAATCCCACTAAACAGAACAACTTTGTAAACCACACAAAGTAACGTCTGCTCCTTTACTTGTACAGCCATCTGGCACCATGGGCCAACTTTCTCAAAATATGTTATATCAAGATTTTGGAAATAAAGTAGCAAATGTTATCCAGAACGTCACAAAACAAAGTAGGGCTTCACATGAAATAATCTGATCAACTGGTACAACTTTACAAAGAGCTGTACATTTCTCAGTAGAGTCCAAACACAGTGAAAACTACTTGTAGGATCTCAGCAAACCCAACAGCCTTCAAGCTACTTAAAGGTCCTAACCTAAAGAAAGTTAGGTGCATCCTTAACTCCTAATAGTATCAATGAGACAAGAAACTTCCTTCTGAAAACTTTGCAACCCATCTTGGACCTCTGTAATTTAAGAAAACTTAATTGGGCGTAGCAGTCTGAAAATGACCGTGCAACATATTTTGTACTTGCACAATTCTATTCACAACTATCCTAACAGAGCAACTATTGTGATAACCAGTATTAGTACATCCAAGGCTACAAACAATTTTGTGAGATCAAGCCCCACTGCACACAAAGCATTTATTTGTGATAGAACACACATAGGATTATACAGCCATTCAGTTAGATGTCATATTAAAAAGTTTTAAGTGAAATTTTACACACATATATATGTTCGCACATTGGCTCTGGAAATATTCTTTACATGCTTCTAAGTATACAGATATTCTTTGACTTTATATGTTTGACTTTAATATAATTGCTTCTGTATGGGGAAAAACTCACATTTTGATGCCTTATAAATAATTTAGATACTGAAATTAGGGATACATTCCCCCCAAAAATAACATTATTGCATATGCAAAGTAAGTTTTTCCATGGTCCTGATAATGCTGACAGAATGAAATCCTAAATGGTGTGTTTTTGTAACTTTACAGATATAATATGCTCAGTCAAAAACATATACCTCAACTCCCACTGTTGTTGAAATAGAATTCACCTGTTGTTGCACATATCATTCATCAATCTCTTCAGACACAGACATAAAAGCTTTTAATACCTGTGATGCATATACAGTTCTTAATATTATCAAAACTATGTGCAACATAGTTATAGAACAACATTTCAAGTATTTCTCTATGAACTCATCCAAAGATTTTAGGTCTCTCAGAATATTAGTTACAGTTACAGCTGGAGTTTAAGTCTTATTAGTTATAAATGGTAAGATTCATTAAGCTTTATTTAAAAATGAGACTATTTGCAATTTTTCCAGCACTTCCTCTTCTACTAGTATATCTAGCCACTAGTTCAGAACACAACTATACCAGTTCTTACATATGTTTAAGTGTATAGAATACCATATACTAATGTATTTACTTCTGCACCAGACCGTGGTCTGTTTACATTTTCTTTATGGAGAAAATTTACTCTTTGTCCTACTTCTTATTTAAATACATTGCTAATTTCCTTCATTTAATTTCTTGTACACTGATTTAGCACATACAAATTCAAAACCAACTTGAGGTTATGAGAGCTACACATAAAACCTCATAAATGACTGCAGAAACTATTAAGCAAGAACAAGGGGTTCTTTTTGCCTTTATGAAAATAAACTGTTTGCATTTACACTTGTTCCAAATTGATTAACTCTTCTATAGCTGCCCAATTTACACTGCAATTCTATGCATGTTTACTCTGAAGTCCTACTGTGTTCAATGGAGCTTGTACCTACTAAATGCATTTAGGTCTGAAGCTTTAGAGTATAACAGCCAATACAGATAATTTAATATTCAGTTTATTAAATAGTATTGTCTATCACTTGCAAATACTGGCACTACCTACTTTAGAATGTAAAAAACTGGCTCCTGTAATGTGATGAGATCTTTTAAAAATGTAACACCATTACTGGTTCAATACTTTTCACTCTGAACCATTAATATGCAATCTCTTAACTTCTAAAAAAACTGAAGAAACTTTTCCAGATTCAACATATGCATTGCGTAAAGCATCAAAGATACTTATTCAAATTAACAAAACTAAAGAAAAAGAAAATATATTACTTCATTATCCTACTTTATGTTTAAGCTTGCAAGAAGGAAGTTACACACTCACTACAAATACTGTACATAGTTTTCTTCACCCTTTATGGCTGGAATTTATTCCCTTATCAACAACATCAATATAGTTTTACAACTACTCTTCTGCTATTTTAAAACACCTACACATGCAGACATTTTCTTTGCATTTTCAACAACAACAAAAACTTCACTTAAATGGCTGCTTTGTTCACTGGTTTAAATGCTCTAGTTCTGACCCCACTGTTCCATGGATTATTTATAGTGAAGTACTGTACCTACATCACATGTTTAATTAATACCATAACAAGCTGAGAACCAAAACATTTAATACTTTGCTTTGATTTCTGCAGCAGAGCAACATGTGCAAGTCATTTGGTCAAATTCAAAGTAGAAAACACTTCCGTTTTCACAAGCAGAGTGCGTGAATACAGTTTATCAGTTCACCACCTTCAACAAATGCATACTTAATTTAAAAGTTTTTTTCTAACATGAAGCACTTGCATTTAAAAAGATATATACTATGAAATGTCTGAAGGATCCTGTCTGTAATAGCAATTGCCTAATTTTATCTGAAAGCTAACGGTACTCATTGTCACCCCTCCTTAATGTTTGTTTTTGCTTAAATTGCCACACATAAAATTAACATGTTGGACTGCTTACTGATCTCAAGGTACTTAACAGGAGTTTTTGACCTTGGCACCCTATTTCCAAAATCAGAATAAAAAATTCTTTGGCAGGCACCACACATCTAAGAAAATCATGACCTGCAAAGAAATCAATGTGCTAATCTCAATCCAACAAGCTGTATCAGGAACACAGCACAAAGATAACACAGGATAAAATGTTCTTAAACTTACTTCGAATAGCATGATTGTTAAAACAACTCTAAAAACCTACTCAAGTCTACTTTTACATTACACTTCCCTCTTCCCTTACAGAACTCATGTGGCTTATTTAAACCAGACTATCATTGGTGGGAAAAGACTGATATCTTCCAATATTGGAGATAAGAGAAAAGCTAGGTATTCAACAAGAATCTAAGCAAAAAATTCCCTAGTTCAAGATCCACTCACACATTTGTGAAGGAAAAGTTTAGAAAGAAAAAAAATTAAGCTTTGATTTATGCTTTGCCACTGGAAAACAAACAGAAAAAGGACATATATAAAAAGTTGTTGTTACACAATTTCATCTTGATTTTTTTTTAATTTGAGAAATACTATAAAATGTGTTCTGAAGAAAAGAAATCCTCTTTTTCCTCAAGATCAGCTCATCTAAGGTTAACATTGTATGGAACTAGAGGGTTGCTTTCTTTTCTATTCATCATCTAAATCTAAAGTAAATTTCTTCTGCATTGCAAGGACATAACCAACTACTGAACTTCAATGTGCTCTGACAGCTTAGCTGTCCTATTCAATGAGAAAACTCCAAGTTTAGGGATCATCTGACAGGCAGGGAGTGGAAGAGATCATATCTTTCTTCAGCTAACCTAACTTAACCAGTTTGCCTCAGATTCACAGTACCCCTTCCCCAGGCAAAAAGACTGATGCTGGAAAGCAGTGCTAAAACTATCCTTTGAAAACCCTGCCACATAACAGGTGGCCCTTGTAGCTGGGGTTTCTTGCAACTGCAATCCAGGAGGACTGGTGTAAAAGATAAAAATACAGCCAGATTCCTTCTGGCACAAGCCATATAACAAGATGCACTATTTCCCTCCTTGCACTAACTTCTCGAACTTTTACTAGAACTAAAAAGGGCTGGAATCTCGGAGAGATGGTTAGCTCTCACCACCACCCCAAATCCCAGGTACTGAAAAAAACAGAGGCCAGCTTCCTAAATACTGTACATTTGCTTTGCCTGGGTCTCAAAAGTCATGGTGGATGCCTAGCGAAGATAAAAGCAGCATCCTGTCGAACTACGAGCAACCTCGTACTGGAAGCCAGCTGGACAGAGAAATCGAGGGGAGAACCAGGCGCAGGGCGACGCTCCCAAAGTTGCCCACACAGGGGGTGTTTTGGGGGGGGGGAGTTGATCCTCTTTTTCCCACCGGCCTCCCCGCCTGAGGACGGAAAGCAGGGAGCTTTCCAAGGAGACTCGCGCTCGGATCCCGTCTCCGAGGACATGAACCGTGCATGGGCAAGCCTCGGGTCCCGGGTCACTTTTGGGGGTGGTCAGCGCGCCGGGCTCGCCCAGCCCCACAGGCCAGGGGGGCGCCTCCTTACCTGGGGTTGGTGCTGTTCCAATAGACGGCGTAGCGATCGGCCACCGTTTTGGAGCTGGGATCCTGGCAGAAGACGCACATCCAGAGCAGCAGAAAGACCGCCGTCAACATCTCCACGTGCAACATCACTCCCGGCCAAGGCAACGAGACACGCCGCAGGAACGGACGGAGCGTTGCTTTTCTTCTCAAAAAAAAAGAAAAAAGCAAGGACCGGAACAAAGGAGCACACGAAAAAGGACAAAGTAACGAAAGAAAAGAGGGGGGACGAGAACGAGAGAGAGAGAGACACAGAGAGAGTGAGAGAGAGAAAGAGAAATCACACCAAGTCACCCAACAAACACAAAGAGAGACGCGCCAAGAAGGCCGGCAGCCACGAGGAGGTCCCCCCGGGGAAAAAGCCGGCGCCCGGGAGAGATCCGGAGGGAGCCTGCGGGCCCCGGGAGGGGGAGCGGCGAGCCGAACCGGGCGGCGGCGGCGGCGGCGGCAACAGACGGGCAACAAGGCGGAGGCGGGAGGAGCTCATTCACGGCGGCGAGTCCTGTGCGGAGCCCGAGGCGAGACATACACCAGCCCTGCCCCCGTCCAGCGCCGCTGAGGGGCGGCTCCGCTGTCCTGGCCTCCCCTCCCTGTTCGCAATCGCCCTCCTTCTCTCGCTCGCTCGCTCGCTCGCTCTTCTCTCTCTCTCTCTCTCTCTCTCTCTCTGGGACTTTTCTTCTTCCCGCCCTTTGGTGCGAGGGCTGTCCGAGGGAGGCCGGCGGGAGCGAGCTGGCAGGAATCCTCCAAGGCACAGCAAAAAGTCCACTTTGGGTGCTTTGCGCCTCCTCTTCCTCCTCCTCCTCCTCCTCTCGCCCCTTTCGCTCTCTTTCTCCTGCTCGAGTCGGGCGGCCAACGTCGGAGGCGGCGGGCTACCCTCTCCGCGGGAAGGAGGCTCCTCGCCTTCCCTCCTGCTCCTCCTGGGTGAGGGATGAAGGCGACGCCAGGACTCCACACACCCCGGGCGGAGAGCGCGAGGACTTGGGCACCCGGGGCTCTCCGGCCGAATCGCCTCACGAGCGCGGGGGCTTCGTCCCTGCTTCCTCTCGCCAACCGAGGAGGAAGAGAAGGAAAACCTGCGGCGGAGAGGAGGAGAAGGAAGGCCGCCGCCGCCGCCGCCGCCGCCGCCGCCCCCCACGCCCGCGCGTCCGCCCCAACTCCTCCTGGCGCGGCTTCCTTGTGGAGGCGCTTCCTGGGTCCGAGGCAGGCTCAGGCGCTGCGGGAGCCCCGAGGCGGGGGGGCCACGGGGGCTC